CACTACAACATTGGTCTACAACACACTGGTCACTACAATACACTGGTCACTATAACACACTGGTCACTACAACACAATGGTCACTACAACACACAAGTCACTACAACACACAGGTCTCTACAACATTGGTCTACAAAACACTGGTCACTACAACACACTGGTCACTATAACACACTGGTCACTATAACACACTGGTCACTACAACACACTGGTCACTACAACATTGGTCTACAACACACTGGTCACTACAACACACTGGTCACTACAACACACTGGTCACTACAACACACAAGTCACTACAACACACTGGTCACTACAACACACTGGTCACTACAACACACTGGTCACTACAACACACAGGTCTCTACAACACACTGGTCACTACAACATTGGTCTACAACACACTGGTCACTACAACACACTGGTCACTACAACACACTGGTCACTACAACACACTGGTCACTACAACACACTGGTCACTACAACACACAGGTCTCTACAACACACTGGTCACTACAACATTGGTCTACAACACACTGGTCACTACAACACACTGGTCACTACAACACACTGGTCACTACAACACACAAGTCACTACAACACACTGGTCACTACAACACACTGGTCACTACAACACACTGGTCACTACAACACACAGGTCTCTACAACACACTGGTCACTACAACATCGGTCTACAACACACTGGTCACTACAACACACTGCTCACTACAACACACTGGTCACTACAACACACTGGTCACTACAACATTGGTCTACAACACACTGGTCACTACAACACACAGGTCTCTACAACACACTGGTCACTACAACACACTGGTCTCTACAACACACTGGTCACTACAACACACAGGTCTCTACAACACACTGGTCAATACAACACACTGGTCACTACAACATACTGGTCACTACAACACACTGGTCACCTCAACATCGGTCTACAACACACTGGTCACTACAACACACTGGTCTACAACACACTGCTCACTACAACACACTGGTCACTACAACACACTGGTCAATACAACACACTGGTCTCTACAACACACTGCTCACTACAACACACTGGTCACTACAACACACTGGTCACCTCAACATCGGTCTACAACACATTGGTCACTACAACACACTGGTCTACAACACATTGCTCACTACAACACACTGGTCACTACAACACACTGGTCACTACAACACACTGGTCTACAACACACTGCTCACTACAACACACTGGTCACTACAACACACTGGTCACTACAACACACTGGTCTACAACACACTGCTCACTACAACAATCTTGCTACTACTACAGTTGTTATTGTAAACAGCGTATGAAAAGTTGTTTCTAACGTGACCTTCACATAACAAATCAAACAACAAGAACCCTAATATGCTAAATTTATCTATGCATTTTAAAGTCTCTTTTCTTTCCTAGAAAATCTTATTGCAAACAGGTTTAAACCAGCCGAAAGGTTACTACTTAGATATTTACGAGTATTCGATTCTGAACAATTCTAACGACATTTTTTTTACAGACTAACACATGATTGCATGAAATGAATTATAACAAATAGTACTCGTACCACCGACCTGGTGTACGGTGTGTAGCAGTGTTATAAAATATAATATGGGGATTGTTGTCTACTACAATCATATAAGTTCATATTAGGGTATGGGTGTCACTGGGTGTGTCAAAACATGCTTCTATAGAGTATTCGAGCTCTGGTATCGCTTGCATCATTAACAGACACAAAAGCGATGTCGCCCTATGCCTTCCAGCACGATGAAACAGATTTATTGTGATAATATCTGTCGCATGAAATCACATCGGCTGTGTTAAGTTCTTTTTCTTGAGGTGAGGATATCAACAAAAATTAGTTTAGGTATATAGGCATATTTAAACACATATAAATATTATATATATCAATGAATACATATTTATTTGATGTATGTTAAGTATTACTTCGAAATAAATAACCACTCTTTTACTACGGTGAGAATGTGAGGTACCGTAGTTTAAACTTAAAATTTGTAGTTAATGTAATTTATTTATTTTTAGCGCAATTTCCATTCTGGAGAATTGCGTTTATTAACCCGTCATTTCTGGATGGATGAATGGATGGATGGATGGATGAATGTATGAATGTGTGTCCGCAGCTTTAAGTCGTATCTCCTCCTCAACGAAGCAATATCGAGGACTAGTTCCAAAAGCAAATATGTTAAGCAAGTTACGAGGATGAACATAGGCCATAAAAATTCCGGGTTTCTTTCATGGATTTCCCGTAAAAGCCAAAACACCTCGGAAAAAATGCAGTTTTTGGCCCATATCTCGGCAACCAGACCACATAGCGACTTGAAACATGTACCAATCGATTCCTGCCATAATTTAGAACAATATTGCCGAAGAAAGTTTTCAAAAATATCCTTTCGTTCGGTCACAAAAATTTTTTTGAATTAATTAAAATTTGGACCGAATTATTGAGCATTTTTATCCAAACACACCACACGCGTCATTGCGTTCAATAGCTGCACCATCACGTTCAATAGCTGCACCATCACGTTCAATGGCTGCGTCATCACGTTCAGTAGCTAGGCGCGCAATGGTTTTTAGTCATGTAACTCTATAGTAAATAAAACATGTATTTTAACCAATGGTTTTACTAACCCTGCTCTTGATTTACGCTACGACAGAGCTATTTTTAGATAACATAAGGAAATTGCGCTTAAATGTCACTAGACTTTTTAATAAACTTGTTTTAGTGTAAAAACGTTTTAATAACAAGCTTGTATGTAATAATGCTACCTCCACATAGCATAAGCTACCACCACGTATCACACTGAAGCTTCTCGATATAACGATGCTAGCTGCACCAAGCACTATGCAGCATGCTACACCAACATATTACTGTACTAGCTCTATTTTAGTGTGGTTTTTGAAAAATTTAATTACAGATTGCTTTGAGATTGTGATGAAATATGTATATAATATCTAGACTTATCCTAAATCAAGAATTAAACACATCTATCACTGTGTTGTAGTGATTTATTTTGAATATATTTTACAGACATAATGGCTCGCAGATCACTAATGTCCACACAGATGTGTATAGCTTTGATTGGTAAGTCTGGCAATGGAAAAAGTGCTACTGGGAATACCATACTGGGGAAAGAACGTTTTAAGGAATCAAGTAGCTTAACGTCATGCACTGATATAGTAGAGGTAGATTACACTGAGTTTAGAGGTAGAAGAATACAAGTGGTGGACACCCCAGGGCTGATGGATACTAGACTTAATACGCAAGAAGGTCTCAAGAAGGTGTGCACAGATATGGTCAAGTTAATGCAAGCGTGTCCACACGGTATAAATCTGTTGGTGGTGGTCTTGAATGTCACAAACAGATTCACCACAGAAGAAGCTAAGGTACTGGCTGTTCTTAAGTCTGTCTTTGGACCCGAATTTATCCGAGAGTATTGCGTCGTTGTCATGACAAGGGGTGAGAGCTTTAATGGAGATGAAGATTTCATCACGTGGTGCAGACAGCAGGAGGGCCCAGCTAAAGAATTGTTTGAAGAGTGCCAGTACAGAATTGTTTTGATGAATAACAAAGGAACTCCGCTTGAAAAAATACAAAGTGTTTCGAAACTTATCGCATTTTCAATCAAAATGAAAAGTGATGTTGTTCCGTATACAAATAAACTGTTTCAAATGTTCGCTATACATAGAAAGCAAATTGTCATCTTGCATGGACTTGCTGAATTAATTGCAGAAATCAATTCTAAAGTCACCTTGCTTAAAGATGATATTGAGCTTTTCAGAAACGGACGGAAACAGATTAATATAGTCCAAGCAGAAACTGGAGCCATACTTGAAAGTTTCAAGGAAGCAAAAAGTAGTGCTCTCATTTCTTTTCTGGAGGAAAAAGTCAAAACAATACAAACAGAAACCAACAAAATCGATCTCCAAGTTGAACTACCGCTACAGTTTCATACTATTCTTTCCTCGGTAGAAACTCCAATTTTCAACGCATTTATTCAACTCTACAATTCACGCGATGAAAACTGGACCGCAGATGAAACCCAAGCCGAGATTTCTGCTGGAATATATTCCATGTTGAGCTCCATTGCAAAAGAAAGCAGGGGCACTGCTGAGTTCGAGGTGTTACATGAGGAAATGGAAGAGTTAGCTACACGGATGGGTTTTATTAGCACGCAAGAAAACAAGTTTAAAGAAACAATGTTTCAACACTACCCAACAAAAGGCTTAGAAATATTGATTCCACTTCTTGAGATACTGAAAGTATTTGCCTCGCGACAGAAACAACGTGAACAACTGCTGCGGCGAGCAGACGATTTGTTAACAGCCATACAAGAGGAGGACGCTGGATCTGAGCAACTGAAAAAACTAGAGCGAAAAGCTAAACAAATTATTCAAACACTGAAGGAAATCGACCCAAATCAACCGATAACCAAAGCTTTTTATGACAACCTAAATAAACTACTGGAACGGTTCAATACATCAGCCACACCGTTGGGTGGAGCCTCTGTCAGCTTTGCTCTTAGAAGTGCTGCTACTATAGCAGGATCCACTATTGCCCTTACACTGCTAGCAAGTGGTGCACCCATTTTTGCTGGTGTTGCCGCAGCTTCGACAGCTTGTGTAGTAGCTGTTGGTGGAATAATAAACAAAATAATAGATAGATTGAAAGAAAGGCCAACAGCTCAAAAGTTAGAAGAGGTAACCAAAAACAAATGAAGGCGTTGCAATTCATTCGTTTGGATCTTATGAAATTAGATTTGTCTGGTCCGACAATATTTGAGTAGTGCTTATTTCCGTCAACTGTAGACGAAATAAACACAGCGCGTATATCCTCTACCGGTCTTTCGATTAAATAAACACCGCTTATACCCTCTTACTTTGCTTATTTCCTCTATCGTATATACCGATTTGAAACTAAGGGGAGGTAACAAGTTCTGCTTGATCTTTTTATTGGCATCTGTAAACTTTCGTCACGGACGGCTGCTTTCGCGATGGGGGGGGGGGGGGGGGGAGGGGTATTGTCATATTCACACATTACGAAGTACTGAAAAGTAGAAAATAAAACAACTAAATACGCCGCGGATCGACTCGTTTAAATATAATTTGTTAAAATTATATTATTAGATGCCATTTGCACTATTAAAATAAAAAAGGCACCATACTTTTAGGCTTACTCGTTTTCGAACCTTAAACCTTTTTGATAGCCACCGTGAGATAAACCTCAAGATATAACATCATATAAAGTCAATCAAATATAAAGATAAATATACATCATCAATAGCCTAAATGAGGGTAGTACTTTATTTCGGTCACGGGCTTTCGAAGAAATAAACACCATGCGTATATTCTCTTACAACAAAAATGCTTATTTTCTAAAATTCTGTTAAAATTCTTAATATTTACTCTGATATGTTCACTTGAATATTACAGTTTACATCATCGGCGTGTGAGCACTGAAACGGACCACATCATGTTATGTGTATATGGCCACGTCTACGTCTGTGTCAGTGGCGTAGCGAGAGGGGGGGGCGAGGGGTGCGGATCGCACCGGGTGACACCATTTAGGGGAGTGACACCAAGGCAAAAATAGCAAAATATATATAGAGAAAAATGACAATTCCACTTAATTAAGTGATCAATTCGAGTGTTAAATAGTCTTTTAAGAGCAAATTCGACAAATCCCGACAAGGGTAGAGAGGGGGGGGGGTTCAAATCGATAATTGAAAGTTTGATCCAGAGAGCGTGCCAAATTGCAAGTTTGTCCCCGGGCCCCGGGTAGGGTCGCTACGCCTCTGGATGGGTAACACCATTAAGTGCCGCACTGGGTGACACCCGACCTCGCTACGCCACTGTTCTGTGTTCTACGTCTATGGCCACGTCTACGTATGTGTCTCTGTTCTACGTCCAAGACCACATCTCGTGAGCACTAAGGTGTAAAGTAAACTTGTTACCCTCATCCCGGAGTGAACATTTTAAAGGTCACTAGCCTCCCCTTGATGCCAGACAACTTGTGTAAGTTTAACTAGCAACGCCCAGGTGTTTTCAATCTCCAACATTATCTAAACACACAAAAATGTTTTATTTTAAGTTTTCTATTATTAATTAAAAGGAGAGGTAAAAAAAAGTACGGAGGTCAGCTAGGGAGCACGCTAAATTTAACGCTGACATTCGGACTTCAGTTTTTCCCCTCACATTTTAATAGGGGCAGTTATATTTTATCTACTGGTGCCCACTGTATCGTGTTCTCTTGTTTTCATAATACTTGTGAGTTATTTTATATTTTCCTTATTTTGATTATAGATAAATATAATGTTGATTATAAATTGTTATAACCTTTACACCATTACTGTTTAGTTTTTTTTTTAAATTTCTTTTTAAAATATGTTAAAGCTCAGATTATCATAATGGGTTGTTGTCTTTAAATATTGTATCTCATGTCCTTTAACTTCGTGGTGATTTTTATTAATCTGTGCATCTAAACAAAAATATTCATTGACAAAGCAACTGCAGGCAAGTAAATTAGTTGCTTGAATTTATTTAAATTTCTAAACACATTAACCAAACTGGAATTAATTAATTCGCTATCACTCTTTATCAACCACAGATAGGATTTAATATTTTTTTAATAGGGGAAGTATGGAGACTTAAGGAAGATCAGAATGAAAACCATACATATTATTGTGATGATTGTTATTAAACTTTAAATTAACTATCATAGAGTACAGTACCTAAATATTAAATATTAAATAGAATGTATTTAAAAGATTTCTTAATCGACCAAACTATTTTTACTATCACTACAGAATACAATTATGTTCATTTTCTTTTTGCTACATTACAAATAGTTGTTTGTTATTACAAAGTTTTAATAAACATTTTTATTTTCATTTTGCACTACTATATCCATTTTAAAATTGATGTTTCTGGTTTTAAGTTCAATCTAAAATATTGTAACTACGTAAGCTGTTTTCAACTTTGCTTGATTTGGTTACGTTTAATGGTTTATATCAATGTAACTTGGGGCGCCTTCATATATATTGTTATTTATATACTTACACTATAAGTAGTTCTTGTTTAAATAAGAATAATAAATATGCAAATAAATGTATTTTTTGTTGTTTTCTTTTCAATAATTCATTATCGACGTCCGGTTAATCATAGTAATCTCTAGTTATGTCAAACGTTATGTTTTCATAAAGATTATGTCTACAGAATGTAAGCAGCTTCATGTATCTGTGTTGAGAAGTGAAAGTTGGTTGTGTGGTTTGAAGATTGTTGTGAACAGATAAATAGGGGTCGAACAAACTGGGCGTCAAACAACATGTGCGTCTTTCGCTAGAATATGAAATTATGTGGAACGTTATTGTAAAAAAAAATCAATGACATCTAATTAATTAAAACAAATGAACACAAATTAACCCAAAGAAAGAGTTAAGACTAAGAGTAATACTATTTCAATCGACTCCGAACTCTCCCTATTACCTCACATCAACCTCCCACCAACCTCCCATCAACCTTCCACCAGCCTCCCACCAACCTCCCACCAACCTCCCACCAACCTCCCACCAAACTCCCACCAACCTCCCACCAACCTCCCACCAAACTCCCACCAACCTCCCACCAACCTCCCACCAGCCTCCCACCAACCTCCCACCAACCTCCCACCAAACTCCCACCAACCTCCCACCAAACTCACTCCAGCCTATCAACAACCTCACACCAACCTCCCAACAGCGTCCCACCAACCTCCCATCAACCTCTCACCAGCCTCCCAGCAACCTCCCAAAAACCTCCCACCAACCTTCCACCAGCCTCCCACCAAACTCACTCCAGCCTATCAACAACCTCACACCAACCTCCCAACAGCGTCCCACCAACCTCCCATCAACCTCTCACCAGCCTCCCAGCAACCTCCCAAAAACCTCCCACCAACCTTCCACCAGCCTCCCACCAAACTCCAACCAACCTCCCACTAACCTTCCACCAGTCTCCCACTAACCTCTCACCAGCCTCCGACCAACCTCCCAAAAACCTCCCACTAACCTTCCACCAGCCTCCCACTAACCTCCCACCAGCCTCCGACCAACCTCCCATCAACCTCTCACCAGCCTCCCAGCAACCTCCCAAAAACCTCCCACCAAACTCCCACCAACCTCCCACTAACCTCCCACCAGCCTCCCACCAACCTCCCATCAACCTCTCACTAGCCTCCCAGCAACCTCCCAAAAACCTCCCATCAACCTCTCACTAGCCTCCCAGCAACCTCCCAAAAACCTCCCACCAACCTTCCACCAGCCTCCCACCAAACTCCAACCAACCTCCCACTAACCTCCCACCAGCCTCCCACCAACCTCCCATTCCTCCACTGTACCCAGTGTCATTTAGCCGCCACTTCTACCCAAATGCCTTAACATTCGACTTCACACCATCTTACTATATTCGAGATCCGGCCATACATATGAAAATTATCGACAGAATTAATAGAAAAAAAAATTGGTTTTATTAAGCACACCACGGCAAAAACACGACACAATCAAATCTTGTTAAGCTCCAGCGTTAATCTCGAACTGAGGTTAAACTTCCAACATTTGATTTTTTTATATCATTCCAGTTCAATGATTATACACTTTTCTAACCCCTTCCTCTCTTCCCACATACACTTTTTACTTTCTCTTATATACGAAGTATAGAGAAAGTATTGTAATCGTGCAAAAAAAATCGAGATTTTAATCGAGATTTTTACAAATCTCGACGTTTTACACCTCACTAATACGGAAAAACATAATTTTGCAATCTTGTCGGTATGTCTGTGTGTCTGTCTGTCTGTCTGTCTGTCTGTGTGTGTGTCTGTCTGTGTTTAAACACGATTACTTGAGTACCGTTACAGCTAGGTTGATGGAATTTCATATGTAAGTATTTTATCAAAATCGTAGATCAACTTTTAAGCGATTTCCGATAAACGGAAGTGGTACTTTTCCTACTTTGAATTTTTCAAAGCCTATGACTTGAGTACTATTTAAAATAGATAAATGAAATTTCACATGTAAGTAAAAGATCTAATTCTCTACCTTCTGTCAAATTTTGAGTAATTTTGAGTTGACCGGAAGTACTAATTTACGCTATATCCGATTTCTCAAAAAACGCATGTAAATTTATAAAGTACTAATAATATTGCGCACTATTATGAACATTTTGTTTTGGCGTTCGCTTGGTGCGCAATTCTTTTTTCTATGAGATTCTATTAAATTTTTAAAAATTTAAGTAATTTAAAATCTTGTCTACATTCCAAGTTATATAAGAATATTCGAGAAAGTTTAGGGGAGATCACTCCCGGTTTATTTAAACTGTTAAACATACAGCAACTCTAACAAAACACCTTTAACTAGCTAAATTGATCGTTGTTGGGTAAACTCAATAATACTCCCAGTATCAAAATACATTAACCAAAACTGACAGCAGAAATAAATTAGGTATAGAATCTAATATTTATTTGGCTTTTAAATGAAAAGCAACATTTCTCAAACAAAAATTTAATTTTACTAACGTTTTAAATTATAGAAAATGACATCCACCCCATCACCATATGACTACCACCTTCTCCGCCCATATGTTTAGCAACATTCTCCGTCCATATGTTTAGCAACATTCTCCGCCCATTTGTTTAGCACCATTCTCCGCCCATTTATTTTATGTTTAGCACCATTCTCCGCCCATATGTTTAGCAACATTCTCCGCCCATTTGTTTTGCACCATTTTCCCCCCATATGTTTTGCACCATTCTCCGCCCATTTGTTTAGCACCATTCTCCGCCCATTTGTTTAGCACCATTCTCCGCCCATTTGTTTTATGTTTAGCACCATTCTCCGCCCATA